CCCGGGGCCCCCCCCCCCTCGCCCAGCCACTGCTCCCCCTGGCCCGGGCCCTCCCGTTCCCTTCCCCCTGCCCCCAACAGCACGCCTGAGCTGCCTCGCCAGCCCGCCCTAGCACCCCCCCTGCCTGCCCAGCAGCTCCAGGCCGGCTGGCTCCCCGCTCCCGGGCCAAGCAGGGCAGGGAGAACGGGCGCAGTGACCCCAAGTGCCAGGGCGGCTGTGGCTGTGGAGAGTGGGGAAATGCCACCCCTGGGCCGCCCTTCCCCCTCCGAGCGCCAGCGCTCCCGCCTGAGCTGCCTCGCCAGCCCGCCCTAGCACCCCCCCTGCCTGCCCAGCAGCTCCAGGCCGGCTGGCTCCCCGCTCCCGGGCCAAGCAGGGCAGGGAGAACGGGCGCAGTGACCCCAAGTGCCAGGGCGGCTGTGGCTGTGGAGAGTGGGGAAATGCCACCCCTGGGCCGCCCTTCCCCCTCCGAGCGCCAGCGCTCCTGCCGCTAAGTGCCAGGATTTCCCGGGTGGCTACACACATGCCCCGGCCGGGCCCTTATCTCCGCCTGGATCCCATCTTCCGCGTGGCTCCCTCGGAAACAAGTTCGGACCTGGCTGCCCCAGCCCGGCAGGAACCTGCCAGCGGGTTTCGCGTTTCAGGAACTGGCCCATTTGCAAAGCAAAACACGGCCTTTGTTCTCATCTGCCCCCCGCCCCGGGCTCCTTGGGCGACAGCAAAGTCAAGTCAAGGGCAGGTGGCTGCATGGGGCCGGGGAGCTGTATTTCACTGGCCGGGGGCACCAGGCAAAGGGCACCCCCTCCCTGGACCCCCGGGGTGCTTGGTCAGATGGGGAGGGGCTGTGGAGGCAGCTGGGAACTAGAATCCACGGAACCTTCCCGTGGACAGCACCGGAGCCACGGCTCTTCCAAGAACCGTTCTTAGCGTCACCCCTGTTCCGGCCCCCGGCAAGGGTCCCAGTTGGCATGAGCAGGGGTGGCCAAGCCAGAGACAGCTGCAGTGTCACCCAGAAGCAGCCGCATTTCAGGGGTGGGGGACGTGATCCCCGTGTCCCACGTGGGCAGTCTCTTGCCCCGCCCGGGAGCCATTCTGCCGGTGCAGGCCTGTCTCCACGGAGCTCGGGGCAGGCTCAGAGACCCGTGGAGGTAGGAGACAACGCTGGAGGTGCCCCTCGATTCCGCAGGACGCTGATTGATGGGACACATTCGCAGAGGGCTCTGGGGGCCAAGAGATGGGGGGGACGTGAGCAGCGGAAGTCTGACTTCCGGAGGTGCTGACCCCGTCACCGCTCACAGAAGGCAACAGGCGCCCAGCGCCCCTCCAACGAGCCCCGGGGGGGAATTTTCAACACAAAGGCCTTTGCTGCCCGGGCCCCTGGGATCCGTGTGCCTCAGTGTCCCCGGGTGCTTTCCTTAACACTGTGGCCCTTCTCCATCCGTCAATGGATAGTCAGCCCTGCCCCCTGCAGGTGGAAATGATCCACCTTTGGCGAATTGCTGGGTTTTTAACAAGTGAGCACCTGGCTCCGGTGCCTTCCCTCTTAACTTCCTAACTGTCTGGGGGTGAAACACTGGAATAAGTTGCCTGGGGGGTTGTGGAGACATTGAAGAGCAGGTTGGACAGACGCCTGCCAGGGAAGGTCTAGATGATGCTTGGTCCTGCCGTGAGGGCAGGGGACTGGACTCAACGACCTCTCGAGGTCCCTGCCAGTTCTAGTATTCTGATTCTTTCCATCTGACTCAGACTGGCCCTCCTTCCTGGTTGCAAATGCAGCAGCAGAGGGACGGGGAGACAAAGGCCCCAGCCTCCTCTACCGGCTGGGATGCAAATATTTAACCAAATCACTCCCCTGAATCGGATGCTCTTGTTTTCCAGCGAAGTCGGGGGGAGAGGTGGCCTCTGACTGCAGTATACAGGGCTCTGTCACCCAGCCCCAAAATGCAGCCACTGCTGGGCTGGCACCGTGGCGGAGAGGGAAAGGAGAACACGGTTTGCAATGGAAACTGGGGGGTGGAGGGGGAACAGCTGGACCCGGCTCGCAGCCCTAGCCTTGGAAGACCTGCCTGGAGACGCTGAGGGCCGAGCCTGCAGGAGGAAGGATTTCAGCACCCCCCAAACAGGTTACCAGAGCAGAGAACAGAAGGAGCAGAGCCAGAGTGGAACACGATGCCGGGGTGGGGGCGGAGGTCAACGCAGATTTTGTAAAGGGGACTCGCCTTGCCAAGGCATGGGCGTTCTTCGAGGCTGTCAGAGAGGGCGACAGTGGGGGTCCCATGCACCTGGTGCCCTTGGATTTCCAAAGGCCTCTCTCGGGGTCCCCCGCAGGCTCTGAGGCTAAGTAAGCCAACATGGTAAGAGGAAAGTCCCGCTGGGGGGTCAGTCACTGGTTACAAGAGCAGAAACTAAGGGTAGGACTAAATGGTCAGTTTTCACCATGGAAAGTAGTACGTAGCCGGGTCCCCCACAGCTCTGTACTGGGACCAGGGACGTTCAACATCTTTGTGAATGACCTGGAAAAAGAAAGAGGTGGGAAAAGTCTGCGGCCTGCTGAAGAGGGCCGTGCAGAGGTACAAAGAGAACTCCCAAACCCACCTGCCACAAAACGGCAGGTTGATAAATGCAAAGTAATGCACGTTGCAAAACAGAAAAGCAGGAGCCATTATGGGAGGGAGAGAGAGAATGGATCCAAAAAGACCCAACAGAAATTGGGGGAGGACAGAGAAGGGCGATGAAGATGATGAGCAATCTGGAGCAGGCTGTGGACGGTCCGAGGTTAGACAGATCGGGAATGTTCAGCTCACGAAAAAGACAAAAAATTACAAATGATGTGGAGAAAGTGAATCAGGAAGTGTAATTTACTCCTTCACTTATCACACACATTGGGGTTACTCATTAAATTAATAGGCAGCCGGTTGGAAACAAACAGAAGGCCACATGCCTAGTCATCCCTTGGCAAGGAGTTCCACAGGTCGTTGTGGAGGCCAAAAGTAGAACTGAGTTTAAAAAAATGAACTAGAGATGTTGATGGAGGACAGGTCTATCAGTGGCTATTAGCTAGGATGGGGAGGAACACAACCCCCTGCTCTCGGTGTCCCTAGCCTCTAACTGCTGGAAGCTGGGCGGGATGACGGGATGGATCACTGAAAAAAGCCTTGTTCTGTTCATTGCCTCTGAATGGGACACTGAGCCAGCTGGACCACTGGTCTGACCCAGGGTGGCCATTCTTGTGCTTTTTGATCCTCGGTGAGCACTCCATAGTGAATGACCCATCTAGCTGCAGACCAGCCCCCTCGACTAGCTGTGCTGCACCCAGGGAATCCCCATGGCTGCTGGATGCCTAGACCAGGGCTGCCCCTGAGGAGGGATTCTGCTCTCAGGACGGAGGTTGATCAACTGGAGAGGGTTCGGAGAGATACCGCAAGAAGGATTAAAGGGCTGGACAACATGCCTTGTTGTGACAAACTCCGAGCACTCCCGCCATTTACCTTAACAAAGAGAAGGCTACTTGGTTACAGTCTAGAAGTAGCTCCGTGGAGAACACCTCTTACTTTATATTTTAGGAATGTGCATCTGTCCCTGAGTCCGTTGGTTCAAGAACTCCTCGGAAACGGTAAGAGCTAGGACCACCAAATTCAGGATACAGCTTCCTCTTGGCATAACTTAAAGCAAGGTCAGCGTTTGGTTGTGCTAGGACAATGGGATGTGCCTGGAATGGGATTGTTTCTCATCAAATG